CTGCTTAAGGCAGGGAGAGCTGAGCTGTGGCATGTCTGACCCCTGTCACTCCTTTCATGGCACAGGGTGATTCTGGTGGCCCATTAGTCTGCAATAAGAAGGCTCATGGCATCGTTTCTTATGGACCTGTGCACAACATCTTCCCTGAGGCATTCACCAGGATCTCGTACTTTGAGCCATGGATCCATCAGCAGCTGAAGAGGTTTTCTCTCCAAGATATTCCTTGCTTTCCGTTGTCTGAATAAAATGCTCATTGCCCCTTCTCCACGATGCATCCAACACCTGCTGGTGCTCACAAGCTCCCAGGGGCAGCTGACGTGGACTCAGAGAAGCCCCTGTGGTGCAGGCACAGGCTTTGGCACTAAGGAGAGTCTCCGTGACAAGCTGTAAAAGCAAGTCCGAAGTGCACCCAGCTTCCCATTGCTCCCTTCCTTTCACTGCTGCTCCAGCTCTGCTTGTGGCCATCAATAAAAGTATGTTCAAACTCACTTGTGTCTGCAGCCTTCTTGGCAGATGGATTCAAACCCTCAGTGTGAGAATGAGGAGGTGACTGATGTTGTGTCCTTGATTGTGGTTGTTGATCGGCAGATGTGCCAGGACCATGTGTGGTCCTTGAGTGGCTGCACGCTGCCAGCAGTCCGGATCACAGTTCAGCCACTGGCTGGGGCTCTAAACCACCAGAGGCATCCAATAATTGTCGACCCAACACCAAAGGATCAGGGCAAAGGAAAAAAGGAAGGACTCGTTGCTTGCTTCTTTGAGCTGCTTTAGTTCTCTCCCATGCAGAAGCAGTGTCAGGCTGGCGCCGCGTGGAATCAGCAGCGCGGCACAGGAGCTGTTCTTTCCCATGGCAGGGGCAGCGCCGAAGCGAGGCAGGGGACACAACACTCGTGGGCAGCGGCCATGGCAGCAGCCGTGGCTGTGATCTCTCCCTAGGCAGGAGCCACAGCTGCACCCACGGCCGCAATTTCTCCCACAGCAGCTGATGCCACACTGTAGCAGACCCCATGCAGCTTAGGAGGGCACCATAGAGGATGGAGACTTAACTGTAGGAACAGCTGAGTCATGAGGTGACAGCAAAATAAGCTACTGTCTTCTACTGCCACTGGCCCCATAGCTTATCTCTGTAACCTCATAGGTCACTTTCTCCTGACCCTTTCTATTCGACAAGTTTGGATCCCCCTATACCCTATAAAAAGGGGCTGTTTTAGCCCATTCAACAGAAGAAGAGCTGTCACTGGAACCCTTCGCAGACTCGCCAGTAAATCATCGCTGTGGAACTGCAAGAATCTCTCCTTCTCCTCTCCCACGTCTGCTTCTGCCTCAGCCAAAGGCGCCCTAGCAAGCAAGCAAAGAGCTGCAATCCTAAGAGAGCTGAGAATCACCAAAGAGCTGAGAATCACTGAGCTTGCTAAGGGCAGCCTGCGGCGGCTGCAAGCTGACTGGGTATTGGGGCACTCTGTCTCCCAGAGGGACTGGGTTATCCGGACTATCCTGCATCGCTCGGTGATAAGGCCAAGATCAGGGACTTATCNAAGGAGGGTCATGGAAACAGGGGCTGAGTCCCTTCCAGGCTGTAACACTGACCCAGAGCTGCCAGGGAGGACTCAGAGAGGGCCCAGGCAGGGCTGCTCCCTTCTCATGGGGACACCCTGAGCCTGGTCCTCAGCTGAGCTCCAGCTGTGTCTCAGCCAGCCCTGCACCTGCCCAGAGCACCTGCTGGTCTGGACTGGGCTCACAGAATGACTCCCCAGCTGTACCTCAGACTTCCTCACCACCATGGACTTGTCAGATTCCCTAGAACATCCGGGCAGAGGTCATGAGGGTCCTACTGGCCTTGTCCCTTTATGACCCTGACTGGCGGTTTCTTATTTCTCAAGGACATCTCTGATGGCAGTTAGACCCTTTGATAAAAAAAAGAGGCACTTTGCCTGTCCATGGCCAGCTCTGCCCATTGCTATCAGAGGACAGGGGGAAACAAAAAAACAATCAAAAAATATCAAGATTGAAACAGCTGAGCCACGCAGGGTCCCAGGGGCTCTCTCCAAACGTCTCTGATGGGACATGCACTCAACACACACCCCTTTCCTCTCTCTGTGCACTCTAAACCAGCCCAGATCTCTCCAGTGTTTTTGGAAAATTTTTTCTAGGTTGACGTAATGATGCTTGTATTCCCAGTCATTGTTCTCTTTATGCTGGATATTATGTTCTGTGCCTTCAAGATTGGCTTGGAAGAGTGAAAGTTTTGTTTTGGATTTGTTATCAGCCACTTCTCCACAGCTGGAAGGACACAGAGACAGGGCAGTAGATAGGGCTGCTTTTGTTTTTCCTTGGCTTTAGCTTTGCTCTTGCTCTTGCTTTTGCTTCTCCTCATTAGTTTAGCTAAGCATTCTGATTTTTCCCTGGACTGTTTTCCTTTCCCTTTTTTTGGACCTACTCGAAGCTGCTCTGGAGTGGGGCCTGGGAAACACTGAGAGTTTGCACCTTGTGTCTGCAGCAGCTGCTCCAGCACCCCAGGGATTGATAACAGAGTAACCACCCCCAAGAGAGCCTTTCTGAATTTGTCATCTTTTCCAGAGCGGTGAAAGAGTGGTGTCATCCAGTATGGTTCATTTTGTGTCCTGGGGGGTGCTGTGCCTGTTAAATAAACAGATTCTTTCCACTTCTCTCCAAGGAATCCTTCCCGACTTGGTTTTGGGAAGGGACTGTGTGGGTTTGGTTTCTGGAGGGGTCCCCTGTGAGGGTTTTCTTCCAATTTGCCTTCAACCAGGACACCAGGGCACCTGCTGGTCTGGACTGAACTCACAGAACGACTCCCCAGCTGCACCTCAGACTTCCTCATCACCATGGACTTGTCAGATCCCCTAGAACACCAGGGCTGAGGTCAAGAGGCCCCAACTGGCCTTGTCTCTTAGTGACCCTGACTGGTGGTTTCTGATTGCAAAAAGGACATCTCTGATGGCAGTTACCCCTCTGATAAGAAACAGGAACTTTGCCTGACCCTGACCAGGACTCCTCATTGCTATCAGAGGATGGGGGGAAACAAAAACAAAAAGAAATCAAAATCCGGACAGAATCAGCCCACATGCAGAGTCCCAGGGGCTCTCTCCAAAGCTCTCGGATGGGAGATGCACTCAACAGACACCCCTTTCCTCTCCCTGGGCACTGTGGCTGCTCTCAACCAGCCCAGATCTCTCCATTTTTTGAGAAGATTGCGACAAAACCGCAGAGAATGTTTCATGAGACCCTCACCAAGCCACAGTTTGGGGGTTGTGGGAACAAAAGCAGTAAATGACACGGCCACAGGTTTCCAGTGTCAGCTCACCATGACATATATAGATGTTGTCATTCTGTACCTCTGCCCTGCCTGGCCACAGCCACTGCTTTGGCTCTTCAGGACAGTGGTGGGAGATGCTGCTGCTCCTTCTGCTCACAAATGCTTTTGTCCTTCTGCCCTGGGCTGGGGCTGGTGAGTACACA